TGACTTTTGTCGCATTAGCGGCTTACGAGCTGACGCGGACTATCTTGACGCAGCGCAGATACGCTATCTTAACATATCTGATGCGTTAAACACGATTCCAATTTTGCACACGGTTGCAATCATGCAGCATGAATAGAATAATTTTATACGACACGTGTGCTCTTGAAATTGCATTTTTATAACTAAATTATAACAATTTTGTTATTAAATTACGTTTTTATCATTCTACGCGGAATTGCTCTACAATTAAATTAAACTATTATTATTTACATTTTAAATACGACGCGGTTTGAGCATTTTTTGAGAGAGGAATGATAACAAGTTACGTAAGTTTGAAAATTGCGGACTTAGAACGCTATTCCATTAATTTATTTGCAACTATTTAAACAGAAACGCCTAACAAAATAATATTTGTAGACATAAGAACGAGAATATCCAATTGTATTTAAAAAGATGATTAATTTCGCTCGACGATTTTACATGCTCTGCAATATCAACGTGTCTCCATAAAATACGTTGTCGGACTATGTTTTGCATCGTGTAGAGCATAAGGTGTTGATGTGCTAAGTGAAACTTTGTATGCGGTTTGCAAATCAACAGCGTGCCGCAGGTTGGTGGTTCTTGTTCGTTCGAGTTGTCGAGAACTTGGCGATCACGTCCTCGATGTCATAAAGAATGTTTTATCTCGGATGGCAGTTTGACAAATAAGTACATTGTTTATTGAAACGTCACGTACGAATACACGTGTCTACGTTGCTCCCAAGTCGTCTTATTGTTAAGCATTTGGGAATTTGACTTTACTCATATAAATTAATTTTTATATGAATATGTCACTAGTTAATATTGTAATATTAAGATAATTATTTAACGTGGCATTTTATTGTATTGGAAACAAGTTGGAAAAGATAATTTCAGATAGTTCAATCTATTATTTCTCTTAATACATAAGTGTCAGGATTGGTGTGGAATAATGTAAAATCTAAATGTTTTAGAATAATTTATGCTATGAGAACGCTATAATTTAGTGATATGTTGACGGAATATTGGACAGTAATTATAGACGTGCGATTTGACGCAACGTGATCACGCTTGCGGTGCGATTAACTGGTTAATATGAAAATTACGCATACAAATGTATATCTATAATTTATAGTTAGATCAATGTTATCTATCGCGCGATTTATTTATCTATCGTCCGGCATTCCCACCGCAATGTGACTTTGGTCGTTGGAAATTAGTTACTATGAGATATACGTATCGGTTATGCTATTAATATCAGGATAATTAATATATGAGTTTACAAATACACCGCACATGCGAATGATAGATATATAGATATATGGATTTAAACCTAAAATCCCCTGCCATTGTAGAAATCTTTTGTCCCGTATAGTATGGATAATAATTGTATAATAACAGTAATCTAGATTTGTTGATATGAAGAATTTAATCCACGCAAATATCTTCATGGAAATTGTGTAACTACGATATTGCGAAGCTGTTGATTCTACGGAGTGCATAGTCTTTCTAATGGCTTGCAAACTTCCCTCTGCGAAAGATTTTAGAGCATCTCTTCTCTATCTATCCGTCCAGTTCATTCTGGCTCTTTTAACATGGTACTTTCAAGGATTTTGCTAAATACTCGGACCTCAAGAACGTCCAGTTTGTCTGCGTGGATGTTATTTCACGACGACTCCACAGCAATCGCAGACCTGTTATTTTTGGAGCTAAAGCTTCCACGATTTTTTCAGTTTAGAAAATATTTGGACATGCCAACTATCCAACGATTCAATGTACAATATATTACCTTTAATTAATTTCATTTATTTAAAGCTAATATTTAAAGAGCCAATCGAATCATAAAAAGCCAAATATACATAATTGGAAATAATGCGTTCACAAAAATCAATGCGTAAAGTACAAATATATTCGGCCCAAGTAAATATTAATTTTAATTTGGCATATATTGAATGCGTATCATAATTATTTGGATATTACATTAGTTATTAGTTTATAATCTAAAATGATTAATAAGTAATTTCGTTACTAAAGAATAGAACAAAATTTCATTTAATACGCTCTATACTTATATGGACGAGACTGTAACCCAAGAGAGATCGTATTTTTGTTATCCTAATTGCCGTCGACTTTTTGATCGCACTCGGTAGACGTTTAATTGTCAAAATTTGGTTACTACGTGCGTACGTGGCTCTCGACTATTTAATCTCGCGAACTACGGATTCAGGTGTACAAATTCCGTTAGCCGCGTGTATGTATGAAAACGTGATTCACACAAACGAACCGCCCTCGCACGTGCCTGCGTACGTGTGCAAATTTGATCCACCCTTCAAGTTCAGTACGTGGTAGGCGTCAAACCGTGATCCTTTACAGGAAGATTATCCAGCATAGGAAGTTCTAATTACTATCAAGGTTACGTCGAGGAATAATCCGTACGACCCGTGCGAAATATCCGGCCTTACTAACTAAACCCTCGCACCAAAAAACACGAAGCAAGAAATGCCGCAAGTTTGATTAAAAGGACGCGCCACAAAATGCTGAAGCGTTGAATATTAAACTACACGGTGAATTTTCATAAAAGAAGATTTATGAAACGCGTTTAAATATTAAAATATTACTGCATTATTTTAAATTTTACGTAATTGTGTTTGACGACGAAAATCATCTCCCACACTATTGTGTATCGCGTATTGTTATCTCATCGATAACTTCTAATTAGAGATATAATATTTATTGTACGTTTTTTAAACGACACTTAATATTTTACGAAATGATACAAAACATTGCATTTCTAGAGAAAATTTAACGCTGAATTAATGTGTACAGTGAAGTATTTAAGTTCCTTTCTGGTAAAGAATGTTCTTCAAAAGAGTTGCATAACAATGACTGGAATGTCAAGGTAAGCGATAGTTGCAGAGTACGGAAATTGTAGTTGAGCAAAAGATGCTGAGAAGTTGTTATTTAGATGACTGTACTCTAGTCCAAAAAGATAATGATGGAAAACAGTTTTCTTTAAGTTTCATATTTTAACAAACTTTGTCTAACATTGATACTTTTTTTACAAGTATCTTTTGTACAATACATTACAAATCGACTGACATATTAATGAGGATTGGAAAACTTAGGAAATCACCGAATAATGGCACTAATAAGGTGAATGGCCGCATTTGCGCCACGTAATGAGAATTAAGATGGTTTTAAACAAAGAGGCTTTTGTTATACTCCGCTACATTATTTCACGGTGCGTTGCAACATTGCCGAGCATTATTTAGCCATGTAACGTTACAAACGTGCCACACTGTTGCAGCGCGATATTATGGCGCTAAAGTTAGAGAAATTAATAGTGTGTCACAACTTTGCTTTAATCCTTGTGCTGTAAAAATGCGCAACTTTGTTAACTAAGCAATTAGCTCGCATACCCGAGTTTTATAATTCCGGGTGCATTTCACAATCATATTAGAATACAATTTATTATATAAACCGTGCATGTCTACCGTCAATTAAGACAGTTGCGTATACTCGCTCGCTATTTCGTACCTATTTATTTTCCCTCTAACTCTGATACGCGACGTAACAAAAAAATTATCGCACGGCCGCAGTACGCCATAAAAATAAATTATTACCTCTTCATGTGCAGGCCCTATATCCTCTGGGGTTTAGCGCGACTTGAAAGTTGCAGTATACCACCCGTATATATGTATATAAATTAGCGCGATACGCCATTATACGTATATCGAGAAAACGTAAAGAAGTACCTAAGGAAGCTTTGCGAGATTTTGTCGCGTGTGAGAAACTACGTCGATTATACGCCCGGTCGGGCGCGCGTTATCGTGCGACCGGAACCCGGTCATAGTTATGCATATTAATTGCAACGCAACGCAATAGAGAGCGAACCATGCTGACGAATTCCATGCGCATGCAACGCTAATGCATCGAGGCACGGGAACGAGAGGGCGAGAAACTTGTCACACGCGTGTAAATAAGGCGTAATGTATGGGGCTTACCGTGAGGCCGCGGACCCGGGGATTATCCCCTGCGCAAGCCGCACGCACCCTTTACCCGTAAATGGAATGCAAAGTACATTCGGGCGTAAATCATGCGATAGAAACGGCCGGTAAACCATTGCTCGTGGCGCCGGCCGGCGCGAATCGAGAAGATTGTGACAATGATTCAACGCGGGTTTATGGCACTCCGTGTAATTAAGTCGTATCCGACGCGGGGTATTACGCATGCAAACGCTGGTTGAATTCGCGTTCACACATCGCTGCCGCTCGCGAATGTAATCGGATCGTCCCGGAAAATTCCATTGTAAGTTTCTTCCGCGCGCTGCCCTCCGCTCCCCCCCCCCTCCCCCTCCCCATCGACCTGTTTTATTTTGTTTTTTTTCCCTCCCTTTCACCGGTTCCACAACTCGACGCCACGCAGCGGGGGTTAATTTTTCGCTGAATGCGAGAGAAATTACCGCGGGTGCGTTATACGTGATGCAACTACGTGCCAATCTACGTCTTCTTCGCGCTGTAGAAACGAGTATCTAGATGTCAAAACAATTTCATGCCGCGTGCCCTTTCACCTTCGTGCCCAGGCGCGAATTTGTATTTTATTATCATCGTCGCGTAAATTTTTTAAAATTTGTTTTAACCGACTACAGCAATAAAAACCATGCGATTAACGCACGCAAGTTAAAGAAGCGCATTCGCATATTTATCGTTATATTGAATTCCTGTGCACACATTTTCATGTAAAATATTTAAAAGCTTTTTCTTTCCCCAAACCCCCCTGGAAATTTTAGAATTCGATAAATTACCGGGGCTTTTTTATGCGAGACGTCGACGATATCGTATCGGACATTAAAGTCTGGCCCAGTGAACGAAGCCACCGGATAAGCCTGCCTTACGGCTGATCCTTTTTTCATGCCACTACACTACCTTTATCTCTCCTGTTAACTTACGTTCTATTTTCTTCTTCTTTTTTTTTTGTAACAGGTGGTGACGAACAGACTCGTGGGAACAACGCGGACACTCCTTCGTGAAACTCGCCGAGAGAGGTGAGCGCACGCACAATTTTTAATTTCGTGAACATAACGAGGCCGTAATTTATAAAGGTCTTCTCTCAACCGCGCCCAGGACTTTAACGAGAGTATTAAAAACGGTTTCAAGTCCCTACGATCTCGAACGAATTACGTACACCGTGGAGTTTTTAAGAGCCGCGAGAGGGCATTTTTCGATGCTCACGACACGCCTCCCCGCGTAAAACCTTTAAACGGTTTTATTAAATCTAACGTTGTTCTGTAAAATATGACTTCAGCGATAGCGGGAGTGAAACTTGTACGAGAATAATAACTCTTAGCGTTCTCGCGCGATTTTCGAAGAAAATCTTTAACACCTTTCGCAACGCTTTCCCCTTTGACGTTCTACACGTTGTGCAATAGATTTCTCATATATTAACGCACGGTTGTCTGCTGGCTCCTTTTACCGTAAATTTAATCACATTTACGTACACGTCGTTTGGAAGTTATTTGAAATTCTACCGGCGTCAACTTACGCTTGGACTCGTACTTTTAAAGTAGCCTTAAATATGCGTCAGTCACTATGAAATTTATCTCACTCTTTGCCGTATTCTCGTAATTTATTTCCGTGTTACGCGTTAGAAATTCCAGTCTCATTAACGAAGTCGCATTTTAAATTTCCTTTTAAAATATATTCTTGACGTCATTAAGGGACAGAGATAAAAAGTTCGACAAAGAGCCTAATGTACAGACTTGACGGAAAGAAGTAAATTCGCAGCATACGAAACTGTCTGGAAATTAACCTACTTAAAAGTACCGACTACCGGATGCAAATTACAATTTCCGTGCATCTTTAACGGAGTATCACAGCTCCGGTCGAGATAATACGGATGCGGCGGACTTTCGAAGATAAATAAAACCGACTGCACTTGCGGCGATATTACGGACCATATTCATTTTTTATCTTTAGCTTAGCCCGTAGTGAGCATCGTACTTTTAATGGAAATTTTGTGCTTTCACTGCTAAGACCCATCTAAAAGTGTACACTTAGTATTCATATTGTTTCCGCGAATGGAGTTTTCTTTTATATATAAAAAAGAAGTACATATATTCATACGCGGGGAGAACGAATTTTTCCGGAAAATGTAACATTTAATACGCGGCGTAATATGCTTATTCGCTACGTGAAAATGAATTCGTCGCACCAACGCATTTTGTAGATTAATATTTTATCGATGGGTGCTTCGTTTAGGTGCGCTGTAATACTCGCAAACTAGCATGTTATCGAATTAATGCAACCTGTATCAACGATGATATGCAAGTTTGCGTAAACATTTTGACACTGCTGAGAGTGCACAATTTCAAATTGTACAGCGGCCTGGCGATAAGGGTAACACATCCCTTCCATTTACAAACGAATATATAATATGTAAATACATATATAATATGTACATATTATTAGAAATTCGAAATAATGAATTCATTGACGCATCTGGATCTTCAACAACGCATGCTGTTGACGCAGTCGTATCTTGCGTCCGCTATTCCCAAATGGTACCGATGGACCAAATTATCAATCGCTTGCCATTAACGGCGGCACGACTTCCCCCGAGACACGACGTGCGCGTGCACCTTAAATTTTACGCTCTCGTAAAATTTACGAACATAGCAATATATTTGGAGGGGAAGAAAGCAAGACTATTACAAATCAATTTTGCAAGAAAATTTTATTGACTGTTTAGACGGTTACAACGTGTACGTTAAGAGTGTTACTAAAGTATCATTGACACCTTTTGTAATATCCTTCTTGTCGTTAATCTCCATCGAATGCAAATCGCGTTCGGATTGCGAGTAAATTCATCATTCTCCTTCGAAGATGATTTCTAATGAGCGCTCGATTTTTGTATTCATGGTCACTTTTAATTATAAGATTGCGACGTAGTTTCCTTCATTACACGATGCATCGCGTCGGAACTCCC